GAAAGGTGTGTGCCATCACACTTGGGTACACGTGGATCTTGGACTGAGACTGTCCCCAGTGCCAGGAGGAAAGGTGTGTGCCATCACACTTGGGTACACGTGGATCTCAGACTGAGACTGTCCCATGACACTGTGGCGTGTTCACTGTAGGAGAGAAATTGCTGACTTTGAGCAACAAAAGGCAAGAGAACTGGCCCGAATAGAAGAGTTCAGGAAGGAGGAGGCACGGAAACTGCAGAAGGAACGCAAAGTCTTTGAAAAGTACACAGCAGCGGCGAGGACATTTCCAGACAAAAAGGAGCGGGAAGAAATACAGGTATTCGGCTCCACACCACTGTCAAGGGTGAACACAGACGGCAATCTTGGAAGAAACCCATTAGAGTTATTTGATGTTTTGGAAACAGTGTGAGCTGGGTATCATGTGCATCACTAATTCCAGCTCTTAGAGCGCTGAGGTAGAAAAGGCTACAGGGTGAAACCCTATCTCAGAAGCGGGTGAGTGGGGAGAGGACTGGGCATCTGTGACACACATCAGAACATATTCTCGGTCGACTCTGAGGTCCAACCACTAGTCCCTTACTCACTAACAGAGTTCCTGCAAAGATCCCGCAGAGGCCAGAACTGCTGGGCACCAGTTCAGTGTGGTGCTATTATCTGACCTGTCACACAGACTGACTGCTGCTGCTGCTTTTCATTCACAGTATTTATGCCCATATACTAACTAGAGGTTTAGTTCCCAAACTTACAAAATGACAGGGCAGTTAGTGCCCTGTCTCAGAGGTGGACATGGGCATGATCAGAGGAAAACAGTAGTTGAAAAGAATGAATGCATTTCTTTTTAAAAAATCGTTATATATTTTTTACATGTGTGGGTGTTTTGCTTGCATGAATGTATGTGCATTACATATGTGCAGCCCCTGGAGATAAGAAAAGGGTGTCATATCCCCTGGGACTAGAGTTACAGATGTTTGTGAACCACCATGTGGGTGCTGGGAATCTAACTCGGGTCTTCTGGAAGAGCAGCCAGGGCCCTTAACCACTGAGCCGTCTCTCCAGCGCCATGAATGCATTTCTTATTAGAACTATAAACCTAGGGAAAACCAGATGATATATCTATACATTGACACATATGAAGCTTCCTAAAGAAACTCATTTAGCTAAGTGTAAAAACCTAGTAGATACATTCGACTTGAACACCTCTGCTTCTCAACACCACAGTTTCACATGGCTGTCCATTGTTTCCTGCATAAAATGTGGGCTCACTTTCTGCTTTCATATTAGTGCTGTGGGGTCCAGCCTTGGCTTTCTTCTTTCCTCATGCCGCATGGCACCTGGGGCAATGTCATCATGTCATCTGCACAAATGTCATCTCATCTGCACACCTGAAGCATTAGCTACCACACACCAATATTACTTATGGCTTTATTTTATTTATTATGTATTTATTTATAAGACAGGCTTTCACTGCACAGCCCACAGTGGCTTTGAGATCCCACAGCCTCCTAAGTAGTTGGGATCACAGTGCACACCACTGTAGCTAGTCCTCTAGGTATTTGATGCTATTAGTTTACTCAAGTAAGGGGAAGTGCTGTTACTTTCTGGTGCATCAGTTTATTAGTGTAATAGGTTAGATTTTGATACTCTGTTAAAAATTTTTTTTTTTTTTTTTTTTTTTTTGGTTTTTCAAGAGTTTATCTGTGTAGTTTTGGTGCCTGTCCTGGATCTCGCTCTGGAGACCAGGCTGGCCTCGAACTCACAGAGATCCACCTATCTCTGCCTCCCTAATGCTGGGGTTAAAGGCGTGTGCCACCCCCACTAAGCTTCTGTATCACCCTTTAAAATAGAATTTTTAGCCAGGCGGTGGTGGCGCACGTCTTTAATCCCAGTACTCAGGAAGCAGAGCCAGGAGGATCTCTGTGAGTTCAAGGCCAGCCTGGTCTACAGAGGGAGTTCCAGGACAGCCAGGACTACATACAGAATAAGATGACTTCCCACACTCAGGTCACCAGAATATATTGTCAAATGTCCGAACTACCAAAAGCAATATTCAGATTTGGTGCAGTCCCTAATGACATTATTCACAGAAATAGGGAAAAAAAATCTAAAGTGTATATGAAAGCACAAAAGACCCCCAAAGCAATCCTAGACAGAAAGAGCCATGGGAGGTACCAAAGTACTTGATGTCATATTCTAGAGCCATGGGAGGTACCAAAGTACCTGATGTCATATTCTAGAGCCATGGGAGGTACCAAAGTACCTGATGTCATATTCTAGAGCCATGGGAGGTACTGAAGTACCTGATGTCATATACTAGAGCCATGGGAGGTACCAAAGTACCTGATGGCATATACTAGAGCCATGGGAGGTACCGTAGTACCTGATGTCATATTCTAGAGCCATGGGAAGTACCGAAGTACCTGATGTCATATTCTAGAGCCATGGGAACAGGAACTGGCCCCAAAACAGGCAGGCAGACCTGGGCTGGAATAGAGGACCCCAGTTAATTCTACACAGCTATAACCACCTACCTTTGAAAAAGGCATTAAAAACCCTCTGTGGGAGCCAGTTAGATGGCCAAGTTCCACATGGTGGAAGGAGAGAGAGAACTCTGCAAGTTGTCCTGGACTGTGCACATGCCTTCTGGCACAGATTAATGTAATAAAAATTTTAAGGAAAAATAGTAAAGGAAGATTTAAGTGGTCAGAGCAAGGGTGAAATAAAGATTTTCTTCTTTTCATACACTTATAATGGAAATATATATTACCTTTATTCAAAAGAAAGAAAGGTTTATTGCACTATAAGGAGGCAGTGAGATGGGCAGTAACTACATTCTATATCACTTTTATTTCTTTTTGGTTTTTTGAGACAGGGTTTCTCTGTGTATCCCTGACTGTCCTGGAATTTACTTTGTAGACCAGGCTGGCCTTGAACTCACAGAGTTCATCTGCCTGTCTCTGCCTCCTGAATGCTGGGATTAAAGGTGATAAATATATATTAAAGTTGTTGTAACTGAGACTGTTTTCTTGATTTCTGTCAAGTTCCCATTAGTGATTAATGGGATTAATGCATTTAGTGAATTAGTGATCTTTGTATATTGATTATATAGCCTGTCACTCTGCTGACTGCATCAGATCCCAGGGGCTTCTATTAGAGACTTTAGGGTTTTTAAGAATAGGTTTGCCGGGCGGTGGTGGCGCACGCCTTTAA